TGATTATTTATTTGAACGATATTATTAAAAATCATGATTGACTGCTAAAATGATCAATATATTTTACTTTTTTGTTATCTAAACTGAAAATTGAATATATAGGCAGGTTTTTCACCTTGTTTTGAATCATTAGCATTGTAGTTTATTTGTATGTTAGGCAGAGTAAGGCTGAGATGTTATTTCTGAAGCCTTACAGAGTATCACATCACATAAATTATTAAAATACATAAAGTTCTAACAGTCAGTTAAAAAAAATAGTGAGTGTACCTAGAGCTTCCCGATCAAATAATAAAATAACATAGTGATTCCTCCTTACTAGATAAGAGACCCTATCTACTTCAATCTAAAGTTACAGCTAAAGATTAACTGCGCATTAACATGGCTTGCCTTTTCAAACAGTCAGAGCATATAGTGCTGATTGAATGGATTGAAAATCTCATGCCTTTATAATTGGATAAAACCTTGCATTTGGCCCTAAAGTGAGGTATTTTTGTCATAAATCAATAGAAAGCCAAACATAGTGAAGAACCGCATGCATATAGTATCAACCAAGCTTACCGAGAAGGTGATGTTAGTAGATGTAAAAAAATTACGAAGATTGGAGCAAGAACCACCCTTATGCCTACACAGTGAAGAGAAATTCATTAAGGCTAAGTTTAGGCAAAGTCAAAATGACACCTAAACAAAAGCTTAAGCCATCTAAACAAAACTCATGTCAAATCCAAACCGGATCTCTTGCAGTATAGGTGACACCTACTCTTAATCAATCAATTAATAATACATTTTATTAATGTGTCACCTATAATGCAAGAGATCCTCCAAATTATCCAGACCCAGAGGTTGAGGTTTGCAAATTAATAATTTTTATAGCCCGGCCCGATCCGAATTATAGCTGGTTTCATAATACCTGGGACACCTGTAAAAAATTAGCTGAATGATTTTTTGTCCGATTTAGTTATTATTTCGGCATAATAGATTCAATAAAAAATTGTTATGTACGTACTAGAGTGGACTCAACTAAATAAATCAAAACTATGTGAGCAAACTATGAAATTTGATATCAGTTTGTTCATGTTACACAAATTAAAATCATTCGAGTTGACGGAAGGTCAACATATTGAATGTATGCTGAGGCAGAACCAAACCACCATCCAAACCGGTGAGTGGTTGGATTATTCAAATCAAGCAAACAGATAAGCTAGCGGCACATGAAGAAGCACATGCTCTCATATAAGTATAATTCAACTAATTGCTCAATTTGTAATTATTGGAAAATAACTTCAGTGTTGGATTGAATATAACGATTAGTCGCCACAGTCAGATAGCGCCCCATCAAAAGCAAGAAGCGAGGTTCGCACCCAATCATCCCCATTCCCAGGCAGAAGCTACTATTTCACGGTAATCTTCAAACCTCATGTCAGTCGGTCTGCTTTATGCAGGCTGGAAACCACCGACTGATGCTACAGATCATGCTTTCAGCTG